CGGACACTGCGGCATCCCGGGCAATGATAGCGCAGATAAGCTTGCGGCCTTAGGTCGAGATTCGTAGCACCTCACCACACAGGTACCCTTTCAAGGTGCCAAAACCTGGGTTAAAAACATAATTTCGGTAGCTTGGGCAGTGGCATGGCAACAAGAGAGACCTTTTTCTTCGTAAGGTCAAAGGTGAGACTATCAAATGGAATGACCAAATCAATAGAAAAGAACAACGAATCCTATCTAGGTTGCGAACCGGCCACACACGAATTAGTCACTTCCAGTCGGGACCCACGATGGAAAATGACAGGTGGGCAGGAACTCACAGTCTCCCAGTGTTGGTGAGTTCTTTGCCGTTAATGTTCACGAAAAGTTCACTATTTTGCTATACAGAAATTCAAAACAAAAATTTTATCTGCGGATTTGAACAGTTTTTGACCTGTTTCATACTACCGGAAGGTGTATGCTGGTCACAAATGCCGTGCCAAACTGATTTCCTACTCAATTAATCGATCTTTGATGTGAAATTCGCTAATAAACACGAGGCGCATTTCTTATAGCAAACATGCCATAACAAAATGGGCATGGTTCATTTAAGTAAACAAACTAACACTTCTTCCGACTGTTACACCTATGTATTAGCCGTCTCGGTCGGGACCAGACTTCCTGCAAACGCGCATCAGTTTCAAGTGACGAGAACATTTTGACTCTCTCTCTCCACTTTTCTCTCTATTAACGTTGCGCCCGGGCATATCACATACGAGTTGGTTTTTGCTCTTTTGCTTCTCATTCGTAAATAATTGTGAGGTGTTTGAGAATGTCTCGTCGCTTTCCGACACGAGAGAGGTATTTGTGCTGCATGTACTTGAGACAGCTCGCGCGTTAGAGCTCGTGAGATTTTCTCGCGTACCTTTTCGCCACAAAATAATATTTTGTGCTGTCGGAAGAAGTTGTGCTTTTCGTGTCAGTTTTTTTTTTCTCTGAAAGATGGCGCGTAGAATTGTCAGTGATGAAGAACTGTTCAATATAAATATCGCCGCAAAAGAGGCGATTTGTTTGTTGTGCAACAAAAAGTTAACTGACCTGAGGAAATTCAGTTACCATCGACACTACAAAACTCTTCACAAAGATTTTGCACGACAACGAGGGCTGCTGGATGATGACGATCAAGGTGACGCTGGTCCTTCGAGAAAAATTTCAAAGATTGAGGTACGAATCGACCATAAAACCTATATTTCATCAATGGTCGAACTTGTAACCGTAAATGGTCTTCCCTTGAATATGCTCAAATATCCTGCGTTTCAAAACATCGTAATATAAAAAGCCGAGCTGCTCGGCCCATTTTGGCAAAAAATCTAAGTGTGCAAAAATATTGTTTATATCTCATCATGAAAGATGAAGAAAAAAGTTGGATTGGGATAGTGTGGTTTACTCTAAGTGCGTGTATGTAATTTTTTTTTCAGGAATCTATCTAATCCTTATAAGGAAAAACTGATTCGCTTGGATTTCCAATATAAAAAAAATCAAAACGTGTAAGAAAAAAAAAACTGTTTTTGGTGAAGTAAATTTGTCCATATGCGAAGCCTACTGCCAAAAAATAAAATAAAATAAAATAAAAATAAAAATTTTTGACGAATGTGGGCATCTTAGTGGAATTCCTGTATAAAGAAAAAGAGAACCCTAATAAACGGGTACCATACTTTACCGATATCATAAATAGTACGACCATACCAAATAAACTAGGGATGATATCCCGAATTGGTGTTTAGGCGCTTCTTATGGTTATTGTTTATGCGGGAAGGATTAGTAATTTTCATTTAAATCCACTACCTTATTTGCTTATCCTTGACAGATACGCGTATTTTGTCTACAATGTGCAGACTTCTGTCAAGGATAAGCAAATAAGATAGTGGTTTTAAATTGACATTACTAATCCTTCTATCTTTCTTAATAAAAATACACCGTACTGCGTAAACAACCAATCTTCCAGCACGAGAAAAGTACGCGAGACGAGCTCACGAGAAAATGCACACGAGCTGTTTCATGTACACGCAGCCCATGCTCCCCGCTCGACCCGGCAAGAGACGAGACATCGCTATGCACGTCGCAACAGAAACTCGCATGTATTGATACAAGGCTCGCTCATTTCCCTTGTGCCTCGTTCGTTTACTTCACACAGCTCACCATAACTGAGAGCGGTACGAAATTAGGTAGCGCAATCTCTTCTCTGTGCTCACGAGATTTCAGGAAGCCTGGTCGGGACGATACGATCAAAGCCTATGCGATTTTTGTGGGATTCGGCAGTCTGTCGAACACATTATTGCTGTTTGCTCCTTCGATGCCTCTTCTGTTAAGGGGTTACGCCTACCTGCAAACTTTCAAAAAATCGTTTTTTTTTTATTGTACTAATCGAAAGTATATAAAGTCAAGAATATTTCCTCAAAAGATCAAGTTGATCCGATGAAAATTGTGAAAGTTATGCGACGTACAAAAATATTCACTTAGAGTGGACTAAACCCAACTTGAAACTTTAAACGCGGTTATCTCGGAATCATATTTTCAAAACCGGTGCCAAAAATTTCTCGAAATGTATACATTCGATTCGTCCGATTCGTTTTGATTTCTGTTCAGTACTATCAACAATCAATACGAAACTAACGATTTTAAATTGGCTCACCACTTTAGTAGCCTATTGGTCCCAAGCAAACGATTAACGTACCCTATTCTAGTTGAAATTCTATTACTACACTATGTTTGTTTTGATTTGCTATGAAAGTTTGACAGATAACATCAGGGGTGTGTGGATTCATGCAGAACATGCAGGGGTGAGTGAAATAGCTTGGGACTGCTTGGGACCGTTGTTCTGGTACTGAGTGAGCCAAAAATAATAATGATTTTCTTCGGGACCCAGTGGTCTTAGAGTTACCTCTATGGTACTATTTTGTGCAGTCCACGATCGTTCGAATTTCGTCTATCATTTAATTTCGATTTTTTACAGCCGACAAATTTTAAGGATCAAAAATCGGCACTTCAACTTTGCAAGGCCGCCATTTTGTCAAAAAAAAAAAAAAAACCGAACGATCAAGGACTAGTTTAACACATGCTTAACGATTTGGCATGGTTTTTTTTTATTTCAGATAATTACATCACAAACCGCAGTTGGCACCGCAAAAAGCGTTTTTTAGAACATCGTCCACGGGGAGCAGCCGCGTGGGGCACCAGGACCTCGTTTTTACAGCATCGACTGATAAATGTACCATTTAATGTGTGTTCAATAAACGGCAGAAAACCGATTTTCAATATGTTGCGTCGTTTTCGAGAAAAAAATCCAAACTTTCGCTTTTTTTTCGGTCTTGCAGGTAGGCGTAACCCCTTTAAAAAAAAGAGACGAACCAGCCTAATACCCCGTTCACATTACATCGTATATCACGTGATACACGCTGTCTTGCAATGAGCACTCATACAACTAGTTTTCTCTTGGAAATCCTATGTATGAGTTCTCATTGCAAGACAGCCTATATTACGTGATATAGGCTGTAATGTGAACGGACATAAGGCTGAAAGTCTCTATTATAAAGACATAAAAAATATCTAAAAAGCGTGACGTGTTAGAGAATAGATTTATTCTAGACTAATTCAGGAGATCATAAGAATTTCAAATATGGTAAAATATCTCTGTTATTGAAAGTCGTGTTACACAGAGTTGTAAGTTTTTAATCTAGTTGTGGAAGATCTTGCATATTATAAACTTTTGACAAATGCGTACAAATAGGAAATCGATGTCTACCTTTTTTGGATGATTGACAAATCAATTTGCATGATTCTATTTCTGAAAGTTTTCTGATAATGTTTAAGTCGCATTTTGGTAACTTTTTAAAATGATTTTGGTCACTATTAAGTCACTTTTTTAAAAGATTTTAGTCACTAATTCACTATTTTTATTGCTTAACACTGCTATCAGCCCTGCTGCCATATTTTATATTTTAATTTTTTTTCGAAAATTTAAAGAATATAATAACACTAGCCTAGTCTCAAAATCTCGAAATTTTCTCATGTAACTTCGATGTGTGAAAATCGATTTAAAATATGTCGCTTACTTTCCAATAAAGAAAGTTCCCAAATTTCGCTTTTTTGGCCTCGAAGGTAGGCTTGACCCCTTTCCCCTTGAGGACACGATTGACGGAATCATGTTTTCCATACAATTTGCTTCACCACTTCGAATTTTTACGGGCCCACTGGCGATCTGCTTAAAGCACAAAGTTCTTCTTCGCATTTCAAGCTTATTGCTTATGGCATATTAGCTTATTGCGTGCCCTCAACTTAGTGTTCTAGATGCACTTCCACAGTTATTAATTGAGAGCTTTCGATGCCTGCTACCATTTTTGCATTAGTATAATTGTATGGCAAGTACAATCATACTCTATATGCCCAGGGAGTCGAGAAATTTTCCAACCCGAAAAATTCCTAGACTGGACCGGGAATCGAACCCAGTCACCTCCAGCATGGTCTTGCTTTGTAGCTGCGCCTTTACCGACTGAGCTAAGGGAGGCCCCCCCCATGCTTGCTGCGGTTAATTTTCCGATCAGTATGACTTTTGAATGGCGAGATTAGTGCCACTGAAAACGCGAAGTAGAACCATAGAGGTAACTCTAAGACCACTGGGTCCCGAAGAAAATCATTATTATTTTTGGCTCACTCAGTACCAGAACAACGGTCCCAAGCAGTCCCAAGCTATTTCACTCACCCCTGCATGTTCTGCATGAATCCACACACCCCTGATGTTATCTGTCAAACTTTCATAGCGAATCAAAACAAACATAGTGTAGTAATAGAATTTCAACTAGAATAGGGTACGTTAATCGTTTGCTTGGGACCAATAGGCTACTAAAGTGGTGAGCCAATTTAAAATCGTTAGTTTCGTATTGATTGTTGGTAGAACCTTGTCCTAAAACGATTCAATTTTTATCGAACCACTCAGTGATTCTGATTCTTCTCTTCCCCACTAGGTATTTTTTCCCCACAATCATGGAGCAAGTGCTGCAGAGTTCGCTGATTTCGGCCGCCGTCCAGCTGGAGAAACAACTGGACAGCGAACTTTCCCGACTGGACAGCTTGGGTGGAGAGGATCTGGAGAAGCTGCGCGAACAAAGAATCAAAGAGCTAAAGAAACAGGCCTCCCAACGGCAGGAGTGGAAGAATAATGTATGACAGAACGTCAGGTGTTGCTGAACTAAAGCATTAAACAGTGATCTACCATTTCAGGGTCACGGCGAATACAGCGAGCTGGCGGACGAGAAAGAGTTCTTCGAGGTGAGCAAAAAATCTGCCAACATTGTGTGCCACTTCTATCGGGATTCGACGCCCCGCTGTCGGATCGTCGATATGCATCTGAAGATTCTGGCTTCCAAACATGTCGAGGCCAAATTTTGCAAAGTGAATGCGGAAAAGTGTCCCTTCCTGACGCAGCGGTTGAGGATCAAAGTCATCCCCAGCATAGCACTGATCAAAGACAGCAAAACGAAGGACTACATCGTCGGATTTTCAGATTTGGGCAACTGTGACGATTTCAGCACCGAGATGCTCGAGTGGCGCATCGCACAGTCCGGTTCGATTGAGTATAGTGTGAGTTGATAGGGGTTGGGAGTGGAACTGTTTGAAATTTGATTGAATAATTTGAGATCTTTTTTTTAGGGTGACCTCCTGACGCCTCCCGATGACAAGAAGAAGAAGAAGGCCTCCACTTACAGCGCAAAAAAGACGATTCGTGGTGGGTACGACTCGGACGATTCCGATATCGATTTCGATGATTAATCATCCAAAAAGAAGGTAACCATTCAAAAACTGCTCTGGTAGCAAACATCAACAGGAACTAAAACAGACAAAAATCGATCGACATCGCGATAGATGAACCTTTTCTAGTATTTAGGCATTATTATATTGTAGTATTTAAGGATCTCCTCCTGAGGAAGCGCGACACAACTTACACACCCTCATCAAAATCACTCAAAGCAGCCAGCAATGCAAAATCTCCTTTTGGCAATTTATCAAATCTACATTGACGTGCTATGTGTAGTCCGTCGGCCTGTGTATGTTTACTGTTCTAGCTTGTTTATATGTTTCTACTGCGTGTTTTAGTGCTACCAACAAACCAAAAAAAAATTAACGATTATACTTTATTGCGCCAAAATCAAAATTATAGATAATACTTTCTGCTTTATGTCCAGAACCAGTGTGATTTTGATGTCCCTGCTGTATATCCCCTCCAATTCTCTACCTCTTAAGTGTTCGTCCTTTCTGTTAAAAGTAAACAAACGTGATAGAGACGAGAAAACATGAAGCGACAATTGCTTGAGTGGAAAAAAAAACCAATTGAGTTTTGCAAAACGAGTAGAAAACAAACCTGCTTTGAGGGTAAGTTTAAAAAAAATGCACACCGCATTAACAATGTTCAACCAATTGACAAGCGAACTTAGTAGTGATATTAGAGAACCGCGTTCGAATAAAAAAAAACACTCAACATAACCTGCTAGGAAAATATTTCGATTTACCTACTCTGAAAAAAACATAGTTTAGGTCTATCAACTTGAACTAGAAGCAAATCTACAAACGAAATTGACATTTTAACCGACTACCCAGCAACTCAATCACTTATTATTCAGCTCTTCGCAAGTGCGAAGGGGCTTAACTAACCCAGGTTTGGTTTTATCTATCATCCCAGTTTAATTCTATTTATGGTTATGTTTCCGCATAATGTCGAATTTATCTTACTAACATTTAGTAGCGCAAGACAAAACGACAACAGTGTGTTAAGTCGCGACAATTGCCAGATGAGGATAAAAATAATGGTTTAGAGCTTGATGTCGTCCGATTGATTGGAAGAAAGCGTGGGCAGTGCAAGTTGCATTTTTTTTTTCTGAAAAGGTGAACGCAGTAAGTGCATGATTTTGCAAGCCTAGTGACTATATATTAATAAATTATTTAAGTTTTCTATTACTGATGATATGTAAAACTCCATATGGTTTGTTTTTGGTCTTGTTTTACTCAGAAAGCCCTGTTACTTTGAGGATTTTAGGTGTTGAGGGTTTAAACACGGGGGTCGACCGATAGTCAGAATCGGGAATACAGACCAGCTATCGGATGAGCGGAAAGAACGATTAATCCCTCTTATTCTCGCGTAACATTTGAAAAGGGCCTATACTCGTAGATCGATTCTCTTCACCGACTTTCTCTTTGGTTTACCACGGCAACATAAACGAATTTCTCGAATAAGCTCGCAGCATAAATCGACAGAAGATGATGTTAGCTTGCCCCTGAATCAACATTCAACACACTGAATGGGAAATTCATTTGCAGTCGGGTTATTCGCGAGAAAGACAATCGATGAAGAGAATCGATCAACAATGATAGGCCCTTTTCTCGTGTTGCGCGAGTATTCTGCGCCGCAAGTGCGGTGACAAAAGTCACCGCGAGTGAGGTGACGGTCCGTGTAAATCAAATGGATGGTCACCTTTGGAGGCGAACCAGCCTAAGGCTGAAAGCCTCCTAAATAAAGCTAAATAATAATAATAAATGGATGGTCACCTCACCTCACTTGCAGCGCACAATAAGGAGGAATATGTCCAATATACAAAAAGAGTGACATAAGTTAGAATCTGAGTTTTTTCACAGATGGGTCAACTATAAACGCTTCCACTGGATTTGGAGTATTCAACGAATTTCATAGCGCCTCATATCAACTGCAAAAACCCTGTTCCGTATACGTTGCGGAACTAGCAGCCATATTTTACGCAGTAGAGCAAATTGCCTCTGTACAAAACTGAATTCCGACGGAACACGGAGACAAGGAAAAAACCGACGATGTCACTTTGCTAATTCAACTTTTTAATTTTCTCTGTTTTTTTGTTGTTTACAGTTCGATGGTTTTACATGTTATGTTTTTGGAAGGAAAAAACATGTGCTAATCGCTTCTGCACTGACAGATGGGTGCAAGGTAGATGCGGATGTGGTGTACGATTAGAATTGGGGGCTCTCGCACCGGAACATCCTCCCCCGCCTTGAGGCCACGTGCCTCAATCCGATGTCAAGATACAGACCTTCTGTACCGGGCGCTGGTACTCAGCTTGACCACGCCGCAAGGTAACAGTCCGGACGATTCCAGCTGCATCTGGATGAAGCTTAACGATGCGTGCCAACTCCCATTGAGCCGGCGGAGCGTTCTCATTTTTCACCAACACCAGTTGATCCTCTTTAACATTCGTTTCCGTAACTCGCCATTTAGTACGCGGTTGCAGCGTAGCCACATATTCGTCCCGCCATTGCTTCCAAACTTCGTCGGAGTATTTCTGCACAAGCTGGCATTTATCCAGGCGGTTGGACGGGATATGCTGCACATCAGGTTCCGGAATGAGATTCAACGGTTGACCAATCAAAAAATGACCGGGTGTCAAAGCTTCGTAACTATCAGGATTGCTCGATAGTGGACAGAGGGGTCTTGAGTTTAGGCATGCTTCGACTTGAGCCAAAATCGTTGCAAGTTCTTCGTAGGTGAGTGCTTCCGAACCAAGTACTGCCAAGAGGTGCTTCTTGACGCTTTTAACAGCTGCTTCCCATATTCCGCCTCGATGCGGAGAGGACGGAGGGTTGAAAACCCATTTGATGCCCAGATTAGAGAGGAAATGTCCTGATGTCTTACTGTTATTCTCCAGAGTACGTTGCAATTCGTGCAGCCAACGGTCGGTACCCACGAAATTTGTCCCATTATCGGACCAGATTTCGTTTGGATATCCGCGTCTAGCGATGAATCGCTTAAGCGCGGTGATGAACACATTGGTTGAGAGATCACTGGCAACCTCCAAGTGTACAGCCTTAGTCGACATGCACACAAAAACCGCCAAATAACCTTTTGTGACTTTGACTCCTCTAACGCACAGCGCATGAATCTTGAATGGGCCGGCGTAGTCAACGCCAACGTGGGTAAATGCGCGGGTTGCCATTACACGAGGCACAGGCAGGCTGCCCATGAGCTGATTGGCCGTGTGTCCCTTCATTCTTACGCATCGAATACAGCTTTGAACTGTTCGTCGTACTGCTGCCTGTAGTCCGATCACCCAGTACTGCTGATTTACTGTAGCTGTAAGCAGAGTGGGCCCCGCATGGAGATTTTGCAGATGAAGTTCTCTCAGAAGAAGTTCCGTTACTCGATGGTCACGTGGGAGAATGATCGGATGTTTCACATCGAATGAGTAGGGAGAATTCTGAAGACGGCCTCCCACGCGCATCGTTCCAGTATTGTCCAGGAAAGGGTGTAGTGCTGACAATCTGTTCTTGGCCGGCAACTCCTTTTCCTTTGCGAGTAATTCCATTTCCTGCTTGTACACATCGAATTGTGCAGTTCTAGCTATCTGCGCCTTTGCCGCATACAGTTCGCCGGGTGTCAGCGTAGGTTCACATTCCATTCCCTTGGTAGCTTGCACAAATCTATTTACATACGCAAGTGCTCGAACAACCAAATTGAAGCTTGATCGCCGTTCAATCAATTCCCGCTCGACGTCGTAGTTGTCTCGAGTAGCTTTCGGATTGGTATGCAGTACCTTGAGTTTCCACACTTCCAAAAGGTTTTCATCGTCGACTGGATCGTAGGGTTCAGCATTCCAAAATTCTTCATCCTTGCATAACCACTGCGGTCCGTGTTCACGATACAAGTTCACCTGGAGTTAAACCACGAGATGCACAATCCGCTGGGTTGTCTTGACCGCTCACGTGGTTCCAGCGATCACGAGGTAAGAAATCCAGGATCGCAGAAGTACGGTTGGCTATGTACGTTTTCCACTTGCGAGGATGAGCAGACAACCACTGAAGAACTATAGTATTGTCTGTCCACGCCCAATGCTCCACTTCCAGATGGGAGAGTGCTTGAGTAATTCGCTGCATAAGTTCTGCCAGTAAGGCTGCTGCGCAAAGCTCCAATCGGGGCAGCGAAACTTGTTTAATCGGCGCCACTCTTGTCTTTGCAGCCACGAGGTTCACCAAAATGTTTCCTTCTTCGTCTCTTGCTCTGCTGTACACCACAGCACCGTACGCCATCTCGGAAGCATCCGAAAACCCATGTAACTCTACCTTGCCGTTGAAGCTCGCGATGAATCGTGGAATGCTAATCTGTTCGACGAGGTGACGGTTTTCCTTAATATCTATCCACATTGTCTCGATAGCAGGAGGAAGTGGATCATCCCAGGAAATATCACTCAACCACAGTTGTTGAAACATAATCTTGACCTTCACAATCACTGGAGACAGCCATCCAAATGGATCGAAAAGCCGTGAAGAGTCCGAGAGTAACTGACGTTTACTATTCACGCTATCTGGTGAGAGACTAACCTTGAAGGAAAAGACGTCTTCCTTAGGCAGCCACTGTATCCCTAGTGCCTTGACAGCGTCTGGATGCTCCGCCAGTTTAACATCTATTGGTGCTTGCTCTGCATCTTCCCCATCTCGTAGAAGTTCTGAACGATTGGATGTCCATTTTACGTAGGTTGAACCCCGCCGATTTCATGATCTCGATAACTTGGTTCTTTAGCTCCCTTGCTTCATCCATGTTCTTCGTACCTGATAGGAAATCGTCGACGTACATATCCAAAACAATCCTCTCCGCTGCGCCTGGATACATCGAGCTGTAATCCTTCGCTGCTTGTATCATGGCTTCAATTGCTAGGTATGGTGCAGACTTCGTCCCGTATGTGACAGTACAGAGACGATAATGTTTGATTGGCTCACTTGAATTCTTACGCCATACAATCCGCAAGTAATCTCTGTCTTGTGGATGCATCCATACTTGACGGAACATCTTTTCCGCATCTGCTGCAAACGCCACCTCATTTGACCGAAAACGCAAATGAACAGAGAAGAGTTCCTGGTTCACGTTTGGTCCGGCTAAGAGCCGATCGTTGAGAGACACACCAGATTCGGACGCACTGGAGGCATCAAAAACTACCCGAAGTTTCGTCGTCGTGCTCTCTGCTTTCATCACTGCATGGTGAGGGAGGTAGAAACTTTCACTAGCCTTCACGCTTACTTCGTTTTCCGGTACCTCCTCCATATGGCCTAGAGCGAGGTATTCTTCGATAAAATCCGAATACTGCTGGTGGAATTCTGGATTCCGGTCGAAACGTTTCTCCATCGATCTCAACCGTTTGATGGCTGCCGTGAGTGACTCTCCCAACGCAGGCTTCGAATCGTCGAAAGGAAGTCGCACGATGAAGCGTCCCGAGAGAGTGTGGACTGGAAGAACTCAGCCGCCGCCTGTTCCGAAGGAGTAAGCTGTTGTGGCTTTGGAACCTCCTCCTGCTCCCAATACTGTCGCAATGTGCGGTTGATGTCCACCTCGGCATGTAGATTGATGATGGAGAAATTGTTAGGTACATTTGTCGTATAGATAGCTTGATTACCAGATACGATCCACCCAAATATCGTGTTCTGGGCCACAGAAGTACCGCATTTGTCCTTGACTTGCCCCGATTGGAGAATAGCAAGAAAGACATCCGAACCCAAAATTATATCGATTGGCCCCGGCTGGTTGAATGCCGGATCCGCTAGCGTTTCCTGAATCTCCTTCTCCAACAGCTTCGTGTTCACCTCGACGCGTTGAGCAGGCAACGTTGACGTCAGCTTACCCA